AAGACCAGATTTGGAGGGATCTTGGGGCTGCCACAGCACCAGCTGGCAGGGACACTGAGCACTGCACATCAGGATGGCCCTCAGCTAGGGGACACACAATAAAAACAATGGACCCTGCTCCACCCCGCCCCATCCACCCCAAGGAACCCTGGATTTGCCTCAATTCCTGGAAACTTCTAAGGGAGCTCTAGACATGAAGGAGTGGCAGGGACTGCTTCATCAGGGAAAGGGGCTCCTCATGACCCCAAGGTGTGTCTTACCGGATTATCGACCTTTAGGGCGAACTTGATCTCGCTGTGCAGTTTCTGAAGCTTCTCCTCCACGGAAGGTTCTATGGCCAGGAGAGAATGCACTGCCTGGGCCTAAGCTCCCAAGCCCAGACTTGGCCAAGGGCCTGAGCACCACTACGTGACATAAGAACCTGCCCCCCTCCCAACCTCAGCAACCTTGGGCTGCAGGACCTTGGCAGCGACTGTGACAGCTGGGCCCTCACCTTTCTTCTTCTCAACCTTCCTGTCGGGTGGGAACCCTTCTGACCGCTTCCGGGTCCGTTCCACCTTCATGGGCCTGTGAAGACTCAATCCCTTTAGGCCTCTGACCAACATCCACGAAGCCACCCTGCCCCAACCACTGCCATCCTCCCCACTAAGGGCCGGAGCTAAAGAAAACCTTTAGGAGGCCCCAAAGCTGTGAGGAGGGGTCAGGGACCATCGTGACCTGGTCTAAGACAGGCACCTAGGACAAACCATGTGAAATCTCAAAGTTCTTTTTGTTTTTTTATATGTGGCTGCGGGTTAATGTCTAGTATGTAAGACCCAGTGAGTGAGTTATTAAAAGGCGCTCCACTTGGACACTCACAGACAACAGCAACACTCGTTAACACGGTTCCAGTTCTATACTCCACTCGGCAGTCAGGCTGCAAGTTCCCAGTGGGCAGATTCCAACCAGTGGCTGGAATTCCACTTCAAAATGTCAGGGAGATGTGCTGGCCCCACACCTAGTGGGTCTTGGACTTAAAAAGCCTGAGAACCACTGGTCTGGGGACAGTTCCCCCCCTTGGCACTACAGACATCAGGGCCAGGTCATTCTCTGTGGGGGGGCCATCCTGCATACTATGGTGTGTTGAGCAGCATCCCTGGCCCCCATTCCCTTGATGTCTGGAACACCCCAGTCAAGGACCACAATCCTGAACAGGGGACACTTCAACAGGATCTGTTTACCAAACTAAATTTGGAAGCTGGGCCCCTCCAATGAGGAGTGAGAACCTGGGGACCAGGATGGGCCTCGGGGAGCTGGGGCAGACAGGCTAAGGGAGTGCTGACCTGGATCGGGGCTTCTCCTCAGGGCGCCCTTTCTTCTCCTTCTGGCTGGGTCTCTTCACGGGCTCTGTGTTTTGTGGCTGCAACTTCTTAGCTGATTTCTTCACCTGCAGCAGCAAAATAGAGGGGCTGGAGCGGCAGGGGCTGGCTCTGAACTCCTGAACTCCCCCCTTGGGGAGACAAGACTTCCTGCCACCACCTTCACACTGCTGGGAGCTGGGAGAATGGACAGGATGGAATGGGAAAGGTCCCTGTGTCCCATCCATCCCTGGCAGCAGAGCTCAGGCTCTGAAAGGCCCACCAACAGTGGGGCAGC